CCCCAAAACCCCAAAACCCCAAAACCCCAAAACCCCTCTTAGTGATTACGGTTTTAGAATTAGCTTTTATTTCTTGTACTGCCATACATTTACTTGTTTAGCATTTTCAGTTTTGTTAAACACGACTACTTTCTTGTTCGCCTTCCTGTGCCTCTCGAGGTATGGTAAAATACTTGTCTGGAAACTACTTTCAGATCTGTTTCTTCTAAATTTGCTTACAATTTCTGGGATTGAGATGCCTGTATCAAATGAGTCTGATAGAATAGAGGACTTTGATCTCAGATCTTTCTCTATTTCCTTGTAGATTTTCCTTGCCTCTAGCTTATTCATGACGGTCATGATACAGCCGAATAGGAGATAGACGATGAACGTGAAAGATATTCCCCCGATCACTATTAGTACCAGGTTGTCTCTGATCAGTTTCTTTAGACCTCATTGTAGGCTGTACCGAGGATCTTTGGTGATTTCAAGCGATTCACTGAAAATTTTCGATATTTCCTGAGTTATTTTGCTAATTTCGTTTGTATTTTTTTGATCGAAGCTATCCTTGATTTCTACCATCTGAGAGTTCATTTTAGTGCTGATAAATTCCTGTGAAGTTAATGTAGTGTTAGTATTTCCTCATTCAAGGTCTCCAAGATAGTAGAGGTATTCTTCATGATATTTTGATGAGAATTGAAGGATCAGATTGTTAAATTTATCATCTGTGATACAGGTTTTTCCGCTACGAATGAACCCAAGCTTTCAGGTGAGTTTGCCATTAATATCTCAAGAACCATTCTCTGGGCAGGGATGGCAGTTCGATCTGCTATCTTTAGTTTGGCCTGAAGGACAAAATGTGGTAGTATCTATTGCAAGGAACTTGTAGTATCCTAATTCCGCTAGTTTTACACACCCTGCTAGCACAAATATCACTATGATTAAAATCAATGCCTGAGTGATAGTTTCAACAATTTCTAAACCTGTTTAGACCAAATCTACTTACTTGAACAAACAGATGAGTCAGCTGGATCTTGGGAATGTCTGCTGGGCTGAGCTCTTGGAATTCTTCTTTCTTCGGTAGATTTAAAAATTTCTCTATATTTTGGAGAATCTTCTTTTATTGGCCTTTGAGGTTGAATTATGTCGTTTACTTTAGGAGAAATATTAGTTCTGGAAGGAATAAATCTACTAGCATCGCGTCTTGGCTCTTGTTTTTGATCTCTTCTGAAAGGAATGGGGTCATTTCGCTCATTATTTGTCTGAATCCTGCTGATTCTCACTGGGAATCGATTCCTAATGTTTGGCTCATTGATTATTTCAGATGGTCTTTCAGGGCTTATTTGATGGGCAGGAATTTTGTAATTTGATTGCACTTCACTTGTTTTATTGCTTGAATAACTTCTCTCATCTGGGCTTTGTATATTCTGTGAGCTGTTTTCTTGATAGGGAGTTTGATCTTCACTCTCTTGATAGCTATCAGGAACTAAGGGAAGCTCAGAACTCTCTCGAGGGTTCGAAATAAAAGAACTTTCCTCTTGTATTGTCGGTGTTGGTTCCACAGACTGTTGTGGTTTCCTTTGAAACACATTATTCTGATTATTATTGGTCTGGTTTATATGACTAGCGAGAGTTCTCCTGAACAAGTCTTGAGCTGTTTGCTTCGATTTCTGATTCTCTTGCTCTAATGATCTAAAACTATTAATTTCACTTTTACTTCTGTCTGTTAGCTTGGGATCTTTTTCGTCTTCTTTCTTCCATCTCTTTCTGTCTCTTAATTAAGCTATTATCTTGTAAATTTTGATTATGAGCTTCCTGGGCCTCAAAGCCTCTTTCTCTAGAGGAAGGTTGGGATTGTCTATCCTGCAGATTTTGGTTGACTCCACTTGGTAGGTCCCACTTCTTTCTTGTATGGGCCTTGTTTGGATAATTATTAAGCAGAGGATTCTCTTGTCGAGGATCTTCAGATGTATCCTAAGTGTTTGATACTAAATTTACCTCTTTTGAGATATTAGTAATCTGTCGTTCGGGGATCTGGCCACTGACAACTGAAGAACTTGAGGCAGATGAGTTTTGGGATCCTCTATCTGCACTGGATCCTAGGGATCTCTGAGGCGGCATCCTGCCGAGAATTCCTGGAGGAGCCTTATTTCTTCGGCTTGTTTATCTGAGGTATCTTAACACCAGTGGGCCTATTGATTGAAGCCATTCTCTCTGTTTGTCTTTTCTTCACTTGTGGCTGCTTAATTCCTCTTTCTGGTTCACTTTAGAGAGGTTAAATTAGTTTTAATGAATAATGCGGGAAATTACTTTGAAATTTCTTTTGGTCTTCTCTTTCTTTTGGATGGGTCTGGTACTGTCTTCTTTCTTGATCTCTGATTTTGTTCTTCTGACTATTGGAAATTTTAAGTGAGAGGGAGCATCAAGAGAGGTTTCTAGTTCAAATTGGGTTTGGTTGGAGAAAAATTGAATAAAGAATTTTCACATTGTGGTTTAGTTTTGCTTAATTTTTTTTAAATATCTTAAGAGAATTACTGAGTTTTCAGTAATTTGAGTTGCTGAAGCTAAAATAGAACAATTATATGTGGCAAGATTCAGCATATGTTATAGATTATGACTGATGCTAAAGAGATAATAGTTGAAGAGACAGGTGAAAGGAGAGGATACTTTCTAAACTATATTCAAAGCAGTCACTATCAACTAAATCTTCATAGAATCTTAGATTTTCAGTAGTACTGGCCCAATCTGCTATTTGAAGCTAACCTCAGACTTACAATTGCACGGACAAGCAGTGATCTGAGTTGGTCTTGCGTTGTTGCTCCTTTTGCTTTGTAGTCAATTCCCATTTCAGTCAGCTTCTGCTTCATTTGTCTAGACCCAAGTCCTCGAACTTGGTTACTATTATGGTTCATCTTTAACAGGTGTTCAAAATAAAGTTTCAATTTATATTAATAATCTCGGGGTTTTGGGGTTTTGGGGTTTTGGGGTTTTGGGGTTTTGGGGTTTTGGGG